GGAAAGAAAGTGAGGGACTAAAACAAAGACAAGCAGTAAAAGCAACAGCAGCAACAAGCTTAGCCCAAGCTTAGTTTAACAATTCTGCTACGACATGGCAAGGAGGAGTCAGGCAGATTAAATAAGTGGTTTGACAGAAGCTGTCTTCTTCAAGGAGTCTGTCCTATTTGTCTGCAGCTGAGCTGGGAAGTTTCAACATGCCCTCGAGTCTCCATGTCATCATGCAGGATAATCAGGACAGTTAGAGCCACTCTGACATAAATGCCTCAGCAAAAGCTTAAGGACAGCATAGGAAAGGAGGGAGCTCCTCTTGGAGCAAACCCTGCCAGGAGCCCCTGGCTGATGTCAAGAGGCAGCTCCTAGCAAGGTTAGGATGCTGTGGGTGTCCCAGCAGCCAGGATGGAGGAGGAGCAGGAGCACACGGTCCTTCCCCTCAAGAACAGGTTCAGCAGTGACCCAGCCAGGCCAGCAGTGCCAAGGGAGCTCCTCCAGGAGCTGCAGGATTAGGCAGGCACAGAGAACAGGGCTCAGGGCAGGGACGCTCTGTCAGTTCAGCAGGAGGAACTCGCCCAGCAATAGTCAGATCTCAATAGCATTTGTCAGCTGATGATTTGATTACATAAGAAAGCCTTGCCTCAGAAAGGCCAGAGCCAATCCAGACTGTATGTTTTGTATTCTTAAAGCAGAGTAACAACAGTCCTACAGCTCTTTAAGATTGCAAGCTCATTAAGACAGCAAACCTCCAGAAGCAGCTACTGTTTCCTTGTCTCACCAGAACACTTGCCTCCACTGCTAACAGAAATCCTCTCCAAACCTTCGAAGAGGTTTGCTGCAGGGATATAATTATTTTTCAAACCACTCAGAGCTTTAAGACACAATACTCATTTTCATTGTTCAGTTTCTCTCCAGAAGATGGGGCTTCCCAAAGCAGTGTCACTTGACAGAACTCCAACACACCCACAAGGGTGCGCGTCTGTCCAACAGCTGCACAGAGCCACCAAAGCCACTCATCCTGTCACACACAGGGCACCAGAAGGCGTTTACACAGCTTTCAGCCTAGGTCTGTTCCTCAGGTAACATTAGCCTAAAACACAGCCAAATCTCACTCTTCATTTAAAACATGGTCAGGTCACGAAAAACCTTCCACTAAGTAGGAGACTTTCTACAGCAAGAGAAGAGGAGCTCTGTTATCAGCCTGTTCATACTGGAAAACAACCTTTAAAGACCTTCAGCTGCTTGCATTAGAAGAGGCATTTTGCTGCTGAAAAGTTACCTACAGAAGAGACTCGTACTTCACTTATGCCTGAGCTGGTTAGTGCGCAGGGCATAGGGAGAAACAGCACCTGAGCACGGAAACCCAGCCCACTTTACAGCCCCAATCAACTCCAGTCTCAACAGGCATTAAAAGCCTCCGCATCCATCACCTCTACAGGCTCGGGCCAGAATCCCAGGGCTCGGCCCGGCCAGAGCCCACTCGTCCTCGGCCCCAGATTTCGGACACGGTTACTCATTAATCAGAGAAAAAACAACATCAGCGCCTGAAACAGCACTGGCCAGTCCGGGCAGAAACTCCAGTGGTGCGGGGAGGCAGCGACATTCCCGGCTGCCACCGAGGAGCCGCGGATGTGCGGCCGGGCCGGGCCCCGCTCCCGCGGCCCCCGAGGGAGGGAGGGAGGGAGGGACGGGGCCGCTCCCAGCGCGGGGACCCCTCTATCTGCGAGCCCCCCGCCGCTCCCCGGCGCTCACCGTGGTGGGACATGGGCAGCACCTCGTTGCCGGTGCCGCGGTAGTTGTAGATGACGGCGGCGGCGGCGCCGCGCTCGGCGGCCCGGCGGATCTTGTCGGCGAAGGAGCAGCCGCCGCCGCGCTCGATGAGGGCGAGCCAGCGCGGGGAGCCGCCGGCCGGGGGGGCCCCGCTGAAGTTGGTGAGCGCGCTGCACGCATTGAAGGCGTCGGGGCGGTCGGGCAGCACCAGCAGCCCCTCGGCCGGCTGCAGCGGCGAGTCCAGCCCGTACAGGCCGCTCTCGCCCGCCTCCCAGCCGCTCCGGTTGCGGTCCACGCCGTTCTCCCACGACACGTTCAGCCAGGCGGTCCACGCCGCTGCCGCCGCCGCCCCGCGGGGACCGGGCGGCGGGACGGCGCAAAGCAACGCGGCCAGCGCCAGCAGCGCGGCCCCCGACGGCATCCCAGCACGGCCCGGCCCGGCCGCCCGCCGCCTAAAGCCGCGCCGCGGCTGCCGGGGGAGGAGCGGGGCCGCCCCCGCCGCGGCACGCCCCCGGCACCGCGCGGCACCGAGCACCGCCGTACCACCGCACCGAGCACCGCACCAGCGCATCACCGCACCGCACCACACCACACCACCGCACCGCCCCGCCCGCCGCCGCGGGAGCCCCGCCGGGAACGGGCCCCACCGCTGCCCGGGGAGTGCGGGCCCGGGGCGCTGCGGTGCTGAGGGGGCGCCTCCGGGCATCCCCTCGCTGCGCTCTCCCGGGCGCAGTGCGCCACCAACCCGCGTTTCTCCCGAGGGCATGCGGAGGGTCACCTGCCCGGGCCACCTCTCAGAAGTGACGGCTCCTCCTGACACCACCCTCGGGGGATGGGTGATCCCCGGGTGCCCCAGGGAGGGTGTCTCACCTCCTCCATCACAACCCGGCACAGCGGCCCCGTTCCCCGGCCCGCCCCAGTGCCCGCAGTGGACAGAGCACGGGGCGGGCAGGGGACTCCGGGAGATGCCATCTCCTGATCCTGACACTCCTGAGCGGCCCGAGACACAGCAGCGCCAGCACAAGGTGCGCAGCCGTGAGCCAGCCGGCCTCCAATAGCGGAATTCATGTTTGCTGAACACTCTGTCCTGACTGATGTTATCTTACAAAATACTGGGTAGCACTGCTCCCTCACTGGACTGGCCATCGCTGTCCCGATCATTTGACAGATGCTACAAACCTGCCACTTCAACCAGCAACCCCTTTTTCTACTTATATATTAGTTGTGTTTGCATCATTAATTATTATTTGATCTATGGAACTCACAACAGAAAGTCCTGTTTCTCCAGGGCCCTGCTGTTATTTTTGGGGCAGCCACTTTGCATGCACCAGTCCCTTGCTCCAGCACTTACACACTTTTGCATGGGTGTCCTGCACCAGGCAGTGCAATCAGTGCTGGCAGAGTCATTGCAACCACGAGTGTGAAATGCTGTAGAGCCCTGCCAGGGAATTAACAAAGGAAAATAACATGAGAAAGAACATTTCAAGTTCTTCTTCTCCAGAGAGCCACTCTTTTGACTGAGAGGCCTTGCCTCCTGTCAGCTGCTCTGCGGGAATCACTCCCAGCCCCAGGAGCTTTTCAAACACATCCCAAACAGCCTCAGCACTATGCACAGGCTGGAGCTCTGGGTGAGAGCCCATCACTGAGAAAGGAATATTCCTGGGCAGTGATTACATGGCCCAGGATCAGCTGCTGCCTATGCAAGCCTATGCCGCTGCCTATGCAAGTTCACCCCTTTCTCATCCGAGTCAGCACCAGTCAGTTTTTACCCCAGGCTTTGGGCTGATTCTGAGCCTGTGTGACTGATAACCAGCACTGTGTCATCTGTCTGTGGTGCCCATTGCCTTTCCCTCCCCTGTGCTCAGAGCAGCACACTGAGCCTTACACAGCCTAACCCAGCTCAGGTTTGAATCCCCCCTGGGACAGGGGCTTCAGAACCAGCCCACTCCCCCTGCCAGCCACAGGTGCTTCAAAACCAACCCCTCCACCAGCACCTGCCCTGCCAGCACAGCAGCTGCAGCTTTTGGCAGGCCAGTAGCCCAAGGACATTGGTTTGGTTTTGCTACTGCAATAGCAGCGTGCAGAGCAAGCAATGAAGAGCAGATGAAGCAATTTGCTCAAGATCAATATTGCTTACTAAGTGACCACTTTTGTCCTAACCTAAACAAACCTTAATTTTTCCCTTCCACATCTAAGTAGACAACTTATTTCAACAGCAATAGCTCCAGCTATAATGAGAAGTAAATCCATAAGCAATCAGAGAAACGTGCTTTTGTTTTGAAACCTGTTCCATGTAGGGGCAGAGAGAAACTTAACACACCTGTGAAAACACAACCAAGCTTTATGCACTCAACAGCAGCCAATCTGCTCAGACTCAAATGCCTACAAAACTTTAAGGATGTTTAGCTCTAGCATTTTCACTCAGAAAAAACTGAACCAAAGCCAAAGGTTGGAACCTTCTCAGAATACAAAATTTCCTATAGATCTGGGGATTTTGAGCATAAGGCTGAGTCACAGTCTCTTACACATGCATGCATTACAGTACATCATATGATTAAAAAGCACAAATGAAGAAATGTGAAGAATGCATTGAGAGCAGCCCTGACAAGGACTGGTGATGGAAGGAAGGGTGGTGACTGAGGAGAAGCTCAGCCAGCCTTGCTTGGCTTGGCAGGGAAGCCAGCTGCAAGGGGCTGTGCATCCCAGCCTGGCCAGCGAGGAGTGCGGCAGGTGCCTGGGAGTCCCAGCAGAGCTGATATGTTTTAAAATCCACATGCCAATTGTACCTATTTGAAGCCACATAACTCACACTGAGAACTTCCTGGCTCTCAGAATTAGGAAAAAGAAAAAAAAAAAAAAAAAAAAAAAAAGACAAGATCTATCTTGCAATCTGCAAAGCACATACCTATGCTGCAGACACCTGCAGGTTCATTTGTGTCCTCTCACCTCAAAAACCACACTGGTGCCTTCAAAACAAACACGAAGTAAAAACCAGGACTAACTTCAGACACTCAGCCCTTTGCCTGCCCTGTACCAATCAGATATAACAGCAGGGTCTTGCTGACTAAGCACTGAAGTCAAGATCAAATTGCATAACATGTTACTTTTCTAACTGAACCTCTTGATCAGAACAGCAATCACCCCCAAACACCCCCGGTTCCTCAGAGCCTGGCTGTGCTGCCCTGACCCCAACTTCAGGGAAAGAAATGTCCGGGTGCCTGCAGCCCTTCACTCACCCTGGTGTGCCATCAGGAGGGTGTTGTTGCCTCTGCCCCGTGAGTTGTAGATCACGGCCGCTGCTGCTCCCCTTCTGGTCGCCACCTGAATTTTTTCAGCAAAACTGCAATTGCCTCTTTCAATCAGAGCTATCCACGGTGCTTCCATGACAGTGAAGGCAGTGTTTCTGTCGCAGGCATAAGGATCAGCATCAGGCACTGGAATGCCCACCACCCCCTGAGCGCCGATGTAAGGAGAATTAAAGCCATACAGGCCACATTCACAGCGCTCAAACACAGTCCTGTTGCTGGTGCTGTTGAAATAGAATAAACTGAGAGAGGCCAGCACAGAAATTGCCTCCGTAGCGTGGAATGAAATTAAAAAATCCACCAGGAGAAAGAGAAACCAGAACTTCTTGACTTGCTCCATTTCTTCTTCCCAGCAGCAGCAGACGGAGATGTCCAGAGGTATTTTCCGCTGCTGGTGATCACGGAACGCAGCCGAGTCCCAGCGGAACCTGACACCGGCCAGGTGAGCTGGGCAGTGCCAGGTGAGCCCCGGGACACGCCCGCCCATCGCGGGGCAGGAGCAATGTCCTGCGGCCGCTTCCTCCTCCTCCTGCTGCCGCACAGCGCCCATCCTCCTCCTCCTCCTCCTCCTCCTCCTCCTCCTCCTCCTCCTGCTCCTCCTGCTCCTGCTGCTCCTCTCCCAGCACGGCACAAAGCCCCCCTCGGGTGATGATGCTTCCCCAGGAGCGCCCGCTCCTGTTTCCACCGAGCGTCCCTGCAGAGGAACAGGTCATCTTTCACGCAGTTACATAAGCCCTCAGTTCTCGCTTCATGGGGAATCTGTGATGCAAATGGCCTTGTTAAGAAGGTCAAAAGCAAAGGGAATGTATTAGCAATTATTAGAAAAATTACCCTTCTTCCAGGTGAGGTTAACCAAGTAATTTCCTACATTTCTCCTTTTCAAATTCTTTCAGTTGCCTACTTGGAGAGGTCCAGCTTGTTCTGGTGCTTTTCATGAGATGTGGAATCATCTACACTGACCTCAGAAACAAACTCCCTCTGTCAGAGCATTTTCACATTCCACATGACTTGAAAGATGTCCACTGAGAGGTTGGAATGATTATCACTCAACTCTCCACTTCTGGCTGCAGGCTCTGGAGATTCCAGGCTTGTATTCCCTAACAATTCCTGGATTCCCTTCATGTCTTCTTAGCATAAAACAGTAACAATGAAAACCTTACTCATGGCACAACCCCCCAGTCCACCAGGAAAATAAAGGACAAGTCGTCAAGTTCTCCAAACCTTGGTCCTGGTTTGCTGCATGCACAGTGTGGAAAGCCAAGAGAAGCTGCAACTTGGGGGTACACTTTGTGACAGGAGCTCAAGCTAGTTCTCCAGAAAAGGGTCTTGAAAAGAGCAAACATCACTGTGGAAAAGATTATTGGAAAAGCCAAACAGCTTTTCAGACATTAAATGAAAATGGAAAGAAAGAATCCAAGATGTTCACATCTACTATTAATTCCCTTCCTTATATGTTCCCCTTTTCTGTGTAGCACTTGTTCTACATCACAGTAATTCCAAATTATTACCTCAAAGACCTAGGACTCAGCAGTTTTCTACACTCTACAGTACCTTTAGCTACACACAGTTTGCCTTCCCCCTGTTTTGCTTTGAAAGCAGTGCTGGAGACACCAGACAGCTGCAAATGCAAGATTTCAGAGCACAGTGCTTTGGTCAGCCATGGGCTCTAGACAGGGCATGTGCTCCCCCAGGGTTTCACCCTCAGCAGTGACAATCCACAGCAGCACCAAAGGTGATTGCTGGAACACTGTGCAGGGGTCAAGACTCCATGTCTGGGCTTAACATGGCAAAGTTCACCTGTCTGACGGACCTGGGATCCAAGCTAGTTGGCTTTTCTAGCTGTGCCAATGAGCAGCAGGAGAAATAAAGCAGCCAGCAGAGAGGGCCTTTGCTCCAGGCTGAAAGTGCTGCCTTGGCAGGGAGCAGGCAGACAGAGTGGTGAGATCACAAACACTGCAGCACTTCACGAACTGAAGTCATATCATATCAAGTCCAGCATAAATTAGGGTGGTGGTGCTCCCCAGATTGATTAGAGTAGTAAAATGTCAAGTTAACTACAAGGATTGGATATTGTCCATTTCCATACTGCAGGAGTAATTATCTCTCCTTCCCAGCTTTCACCATGAATATTTCAAATAACACTTGAGCAAAACAAAATTAAATCCTTTAATGTCTTAATCAGATTGTCTATATTCCACATCATTCTGATATTTCTTTCAGAGTTAGGATGTCCTAACATGAAGGATGAAATGTTCAGTGCTACATATTAAGTGTTCTAAGCAGTGCAATGTGGTAACAGCCTTTGCTGCATTTGTGTGACATCTGCCCAGGGAGAGATCTACTCACAAATCAACTTCTTTTCTCTAGGTACCTGCTGTGCTGCTTCTACCTGTGCCCCAGTCTGGGAAGGTCCAGACCTGGCTCTGCTTTGCTGCCATGCCACGAGCACAAAAGGCATCTTGCACACCAGCATGGACTGAAGCTCAGGGATTTTCAAAGAAGTGAAAAAAAGTTATATTTTATATAATTCCTTGTCTGTGCCCTCTGTTGATTTCACTGGGCACCACTGAAAGAAGCTTGCTTCCATCATATTTACCCTCCCTGGCCCTTGAGGGATTTGTATCATGGATGAGAACCCCTCAAGCCCTGTCCAGCTGGTCCCTGTCCCCCCGTGCTCCCAAGCAGTGACACTCCTGCTGCTGCAGGGCTGTGGGCTCTGCCCTTCCTGCTCTGCCCTGCCTGCAGCCACACCTTTCCCTGCACCAAAGACGTGGAGATAAGTGGGTAATTCTCCTGGGCAATAAATGGAAGAATTTAAATTACTCTATGAGAACACTGAGTTCATGGAGGCATCTGGATGACTGTTAGCCAGGCCACTGACTTCACAAGAAATCAAGGAAAAGGGAAGTTCATGGCACCTGCTTTTATATGGATGTTCTTGGAAGTCTTTTTGTTTACACATGCAGGTCCCACAGACTGTGTTCAGAGCTCGAACTCAGTCCAGCTCTTTCTGTAGGAAATAGAGAAGTTGATGCAAAATGTCCTCTAAAACATGAATTACTCTGAAGATCACCTTAACAGTATTTTAGAGAGGTAAGATGGGGAACCTGACCAAAATTTTATACCAGCTTTCAAAACAAAATATAAACTCATAAATTGTCAGGCATTCAGCCCACAGTTTTAAAATAAATATTGCATAGACAGTTAATAAGATCCTACCTCAAAATGCTTCTGAGATAACAAAAGTTAGACTTGGAGGACACAGAATATCCTGGAAACAAGTTGGAAGGAAATGCAGATCCACAACCAATTCTTTCAGGTATTGTTAGGCTTGCCAATGATTCCTGTGGCACAGGCAGACAGGAATCAGCCTGTCCCTGCTGGAGCAGAGTCCTGCTGGGCACTGCTCCTCCCGAGCCACGCTGGCTGTAACCAGGAGAGCAAGAGCAGAGCGTTCCACAGCAGATCCCTGGGAGAAAATCCCACAGGACACCCCGGGCATTTCAGCGGGGCTGCTGTTCGGACTGCAGCTGCAGGGCAGCCGGGACAATGGCTTAATGCGATGGGAATAGCCGGTTTATCCCGCAGGGATAGCGGGTTAATGCCATGGGGATAGCGGGTTAATGCCATGGGGATAGAGGTTTAATGCCACGGGGATAGCGGGTCCATCCCGCGGGGATAGCGGGTTAATGCCACGGGGATAGCGGGCTAATGTCATGGGGATAGCGGGTTAATGTCATGGGGATAGCGGGTTAATGCCGCGGGGATAGCGGGTTAATGCCGTGGGGATAGTGGGTTTATCCCGCAGGGACAGCGGGTTAATGCCGCGGGGATAGCGGGTCCATCCCGCAGGGATAGCGGGTTAATGCCGTGGGGATAGCGGGTCCATCCCGCAGGGATAGCGGGTTAATGCCGTGGGGATAGCGGGTTTATCCCTCAGGGATAGCGGGTTAATGCCGCGGGGATAGCGGGTCCATCCCGCAGGGACAGCGGGATAATTCCATGGTTAATCCAGGCCCGCTCCCCGCGGCCCGGCGGCACAGCGCCCCCTGGCGGCCCCGCTCCGGCTCGGCCCCGCTGCCAGGAGCGCGCTGGGAAAAGGGGACCCGGGAAAGGTGATCCGGGAAAAGGGGACACGGGAAAAGGGGACACGGGAAAAGGGGACCTGGAAAAGGGGACCCGGGAAAGGTGACCCGGGAAAAGGGGACACGGGAAAAGGGGACCTGGAAAAGGTGACCCGGGAAAGGTAACCCGGGAAAAGGTGACCCGGGAAAAGGCGCCTTTTCCATCCTTCCCAGGAAAAATCCAGTGCTGCCATCGCTGAAAAGAGACGTTTTTCTCCTTCTCGCACGAGCTCAGTCTCTGCAGCATTGGGTCAATCTAACTCCATGCAAATAAGACACAAAACACCTGCAGAAAAATCCTCCCGGCGACAGCGGTGATAGGACAAAGGGGGTGGCTTCACACTGGCAGAGGACGGGATAGATTAGAAAGTAGGAAGCAATTCTTCCCTGTGAGGGTGGTGAGCCACTGGCACAGGCCACCCAGAGAAGCTGTGGCCACCCTATCCCTGGCAGCGTTCCAGGCCAGGCTGGATGGGGCTCTGAGTAATCTGGACAAGTGGAAGTTGTCCCTGCCCATGGCAGGAGGGTTGGGTCAAGATGATTTCTAAGATCCCTTCCAAGCCAAACCATTCTATGACAATTCACTGATGATATGTTTCCACCAGTGATTTCTCTCATCAGAGAGGAATGGGAAAGTTGTTACTAATATCTTTACCTGTAAAATTTTCCATCGTAAAAGCTATTAATAGATCAGTTTTATCTTAGGGGTGTGTGTGTAACAACAAACCAGTAACAGGTAAAACTGATAGCAGATAGCAGGTAAAATGGACTTGTGATAAAGGATGAGGAAGGAGTCATCATTAGGGGAGTTTTTTCTCTCTGTTCCGTCTCAGTAACTTTAAATTACCTGATTTCCTGCACATCTGGACTTTGCCCAGAACAAACTACTTCACTGTTTTAAGGCTAAGGGGGTGTGATATGATGTGAAAACATACATAGTGTTGTCCTGCTGTATCAGAAAATAAGGTGGGCTGGAAAGTTCTGTTGATTTTATGGTAAAGTTGGAAGAGCAGATTCCAGTCAAGCAGGAGGCCTCTTTCCTCAGCCCTGTGAACAGCTCTGCTGTCTCTGCATCCCCAAGTGCTCTTGGCTCTCAACACTGGGCTGGAATGACCACCTCTCTTGCAGGCTTTCCCAGGTCTGCCTAAAGGACATACAGCTCCATACTTTGCCCTGAGGAAATAGAGACAGGATGCTTCTGCTATGCTGGTTAGAATCCTTTGCAAATTAAAAACTCATCTCACTGAAGTATTTTGTCCTCACTGTGTACAACACAGGTGACTGATTTATAAACCTTCTTTGCCACCAAATAAATCATACTACCCACTAAGGTCCTACAACACAACTATGGGAAATAGTCTTC